CTATGAATAAACCTATCTGGACTATGCACAGATAAATTAGGAAGAAAATGAAATCTGTTTTTCTAAGACACAAGACTGCAAACTGCTGAAGAAGATACTATTGAGCTGGCAAAGGCAACCCTGGACACGGATGGCTACAAGCAGTTTCAGTTCTAGGTTTCTTCACAAGGACAGCGGCAGAGACATCTAATTTGAAGCAATGGCTTTAATTCACTGCCCCGTCTCATTTCTAGCAGAAAACCTGCACAGAAAGAGCATCAAGGAACGACAAGGGAGCACTTCCCTGACCATATCAAGGCTGTTGAAGCTACGTTTGAGTGGCACAGCACCACATCTTGCCCAGATGCTTAACGGGTCCTGGGCACTGCACAGTGTATGTTGCTTGGTCCTGAGCAGAGGCAACCTACGACCTCGGGTTGTGGAGCCAGCACAAGTGCCTTCACACCACCATGTCCTTCGATTGCTAAATTAAATCATCTCCTGTCAAAAGCATCTTCCTGGATAATATTTGACAACTGTAATACTGAGGAGGTAAGATTTTGCTGGCTTTGTTCTAATATCTTCTAAAACTATCAGTAATTTTCTATGGATTTATTAACTCCATGGCACAAGGCAGTCAGAGAAACAAATCACCTGGGAGAGGACATGATGCTTTTGCTGTTGCAAGAAGACCTCCTCTTAGCAAAGATACCAGGAAACAGTGTCTTCTCCCAGCTCAATTGATTTGGCCCCTGTTTAAAGACCATATTCAAACAACTGCAGTGATATGCTCCATTTCAGTGGTTGGCCCAGCCATCGCCTTGCTGCATCTACACAGCTGAAAGCCTTTAAATTGTCTTAACATCCCCAAAAGAAAAAACTCTGCAGCAAACTCTGCAGCACCCTCATGTCACCGGAAGAGAAAATTCGCTGTATTTGTTAAATAACTGCTGATTTGTAACCAGGCTCTGTTTACAGAGCATTACAAAAACACAGCTTTTAAAGGGCTACAAGAAAAGATTGTATTATTCTTCTCACTGAAGTACTGAAAGCTGAATGCACGCTGCTGGAAATGAAAGGGTGGGCAGCTGATGGCGTATTTTAAACAGCATTCCTCTTTGTACATGCTGTGTGATACCACCCAAGGGGGAGATTAAAAAAAAATCTGTAATTTTCAAAGTCATATTGAGGATGATATGAATTTCAGGGTAGGATTCTTTAGAGAAATCTCCTTGGAAAATGTACAGGTACTGCTGGGAACCTTTGGATTTGCTGCTCCTCCCTGGAAGGCTGCTCCGTCTTTCGACATTCAATGTTGTTTACTCTTTGCATCTAATTTTGGAGCTGCCGAGAGGCTTATTGCAAAGGTGCATCTCTGACTAACAGGAAGACAATGCTCTTCTGCACCCTTCCAGATCTCCAAAACCCCTCGGTGTTGGTATGGGAACGTTTCCTAGGAGCAAGGATACGCTGTCCGTTACTTTTACAAGAAGACATTAATTCTGCTCTCAGGTATTAGCAATGTAACCAATGTTTACACGTGTGAAATACATTCCTTCGTGGCCCTTGGGAAAAACAGGATTGCCTGCAGTGATGTGAACCGTCCAAAACCACGGCAAAAACGTGCTGCTTCGAGGCTGTGGGCAGCCAGCAGCAGGGATGAGGAGGAAATGCTTTCCTTAATAGACTCCCAGTAGATAAGACTTTTATATCTTTCCTGCGTATTGCCTTTTCTGGAGCATTACAGAGGCACTGATGGATCTAGGAAAAGGGTAAGGCTACATCCTGAGGTCCCCTAAACTGTCCCACAGAGCTGATGCTTAGGTTCAAATTCATCACTCAAGCTGGTGTCTCAAGAAGCCTCCCTTTGGACGGATTAGCAAGGAGCTTTTGCCTTCACTCATCCTCTATAACATGGCTTGAGCTGAGACACCCCCAAACTGGTTATCTCCACCACATTCTAATTGCATCCACTGAAATGTTAGGGGGACAGCGATCCTGTGATCTTCCCTTTTTGCCATGGCCACAACAACTTTTATCCTGAAGGGCTGAAATGCTCCAGTTCACCCCTGAAATGCTGATCTAACACAGGGTGGCATGAGGGTCACAGGAAAAGCAAGTGTAAGATCAAAGCACCCACCTTGGGGATTTCCTCCTGCATTCTGCTCAGCTAATTTCATTTAGTTTTTGCCGTGCAGAAGTTGGACATTTAGCTAAACCCCTCGAACCTCCAAGTTCTCCCGCTTACAGCAAGGAGAGTCATGACAACCACCTGACGGGAAACCTACAGTTTACGCAGCTCCAGACAGGCCGATTTTCTAAAATTAGAACACCACGAGAAGAAAAGGTCTCCGAGTATTTTATGTTTATAGTTACTGCTTGAATGTTTTCAGATCAAAGAAAACAGCGACAAAAAAAGCTCCAACAAGGATATTGAATCCATTACGCTGCGGTGAATCCCTCTTCCCGCAAGACACTGGTGCAGCTGCCTCTTGCCTCACTCTGCTGGGGTTTTTTGCTACTAGCATGAATGACAGATTTTAATCTGGCAACACCCTTAGTTTGTGTTTATTTGCCTTTTTTTTTTTCTCCTCTAGTTCAATGAACTTTCTTCTCTTGGGTACCGGCATTGAATGATATTATTAGGACAAAAATCAGAAAGTTTTGCCCCCAGCATACACTCCTAACTGTCACAAATCATAGCTTGAGTTTGGCCATGTGTAAAACAAAAATCATCCATAGTCTCAGTGCTTTGGTAACAACGCAAAAGCACTATAAAGATCATATCCATATTGCTCCCTCTAAAAATAAACATGCACAAACAAATTAAAAAGGACGTACACCAAATATAGATACACCATTCATTTCTGAAGAGCAATCAGTTGTGCTAAGAGCAGAAGTACAGCTCTGAGCTAATCAAACATGATTAAAAAATAAAGACAGAACAACATAAGCTTAATTATTATTTTAACATGTTAAAAATACAGTCACATCAAAATAGATACACAGTTATAAAACTGTTGCAGATGACATAAGAAAATAGTGTGTATATATCTTATATATAAAAATCTACAGTATTTACTAATGCTGATACATATTTTGGAGTCTTGCACAAATAAATTGTACAGCTTTGTTATGAATTACAGAATGATTGTTAAACACGGGATTATTACACTTAGCCACAATATTATATACATACATTTCTAAGCTGCTGTAAGCAATCAGAACTAAGGTAAGCCCAAGTCATATTTATCTTCACAATTTTAGTTCAGAGGTTCAGTGTAGTGCTTTGCTACTGTTACTTTGCTGCAGTTTGCAATTTTTAAAATACAAAATTGCCCAGATCATTAAAAATTACATCAGACGCATTATATACACAAAAAGAGTTTGAAATACTCTAAGTAAATGTTACTTCCGCTTGTAAAAATTGTTTTACTTCTGTACCTTAAAACTTACAGAGCCAACCTGCAGCAATAATAGGCACTAAAGCTCATTCTTTAAAGAAAAAAAAAATTATCCATTTCTACGTCTTCGGTTAACAAATCTTACAAAACAAGAGACAAACAGGACAGCTTCCCACACCATCCAAGCTGACGTTGACACCAACGTTTGGTACTTGAGCATCAGAAACCCTCTGCTGAGCGCTCCAAGGGCCTCTTCTGGCCGGATCCTTGTCGGCCTCAGCTCCCGTGGCCGCGACGGGAGCCGGGTGCGTTCGGCACTTACCGGATCACATCCCCTACATGCCATTTAGCCGGCAAATTTTCTCACCCCCCATTTCACAGTCGATGAAAGGAAAGGAAAACACGATGAAGCACAAAAGGCTGCAAACACCCAGGCTCGTTATGCTCAAAATACTTATATTCTCAGGAGTCTACTGCGCTTCCCATTAACAGTCAGGATCATTTTTGTGTAAAACAACACAGTCTCTCAGCAGCCTCGCAGCACAGCAGCACCTGCGCCGTTGCACACACAGACCCACCGGCTCTTTGGGAAAAGAAGGGCAAAAAGTAACACGGACTTGACGGGACAGAGCTTTGGGGAAGGGACCCCACACACGTTCACAGCTCGGTGGGCATCGAGGCTCCACCAAGCCTCAAACTGTTGCATATGCTTCAGCGTCAAGGAGCTGGAAATTCCCCGATACCCTGCAACTGATTTTAGTTTGACAGCAGAGCACGGCAAAACACAAAGGGTGCAGCACCATTTCCATATCTGGCATTGCCTACTCTGTGCTCTAATATTTTTGCATATAGGACGGCATCCGGGAAGCGGATTTGGATGCAAAGGTAAAACCTCCCCACCTGCAACGCACCTCAAACCCTGGAGACGTGCTACGATCAGACTGCCCTGATTTTAAGCACCATTTCTTAGCCAGATTAGAGAGACATTTTTGGCTTTCTGGTTTTGCCAGCCTGCTGAGGAAAACAACAGAACAGTAGTCAAAAGACAAGAATTAACTCTCACAATAAGATTAAATTAATAATCCCAAAGCATCTCTCTTCCCAGAATGGACACTGGGATACTGAGGCAGCTGTATAAAAATGACAGAGATTCCCACTCATAGTGAATGACTTATCAAATAAATTATAAGGAAAAATTAATATGAAATAAGAGTACTTCACAAGCTTCGCCCAAAATTAAATGCATTTAACTTTAAATTCTTTAGCTCTTTTCCATATGTGTTTGTGTATATAAGCACACACTCACAATCGCGCGCGCACACACGCACACTTATACAGTGCATTAAAATGTCAGTCAAAATAAAACTTGCAAATGTGTTACAGGTTTTAGGCAGAAAGATCATAACACAAGTTATTTAAATTTAAGGTACAATGACAATATTAGCCATGTTGTGTATATGATCTTATTGCTATTGCTATGTTTATGTGCATCAGATCACTTTCAACAGCTGCAATGCAAGTCTAAGCACTCAACTAGCCTTCATGGAAAGGCTGAAAAATCGTTCAACTAGTTGTTATTTTCAGGGTTGCATGAACTGTCCACATTCCATTGAAGAGTTGAGGTGGACTACTAGTAACACAGCACTGTATAGCTGGTTTTGGTTTTCGATATTTTAGTAAGCAGAGAGGATTCTCAGAGGAGCACGGATTCATGCACGGACAATCCATCGTTCCTGCTTCGGTAGTGTTGGGTCTGAGCTGATGGTGGCGAACCACGCTCGTCAAAGGTTGGTGAAGTCCTGTATCTTATTGGACTATCAACAGAAACAGCAGGAAGACTGTTATCTTGAAAAGGTGTTGACTGAAAATGCTGGTATTTCTGGAAATTATCCGATTGGCCCTTGTTAGCATCTGGGCTCCAGGGCTGCCTATATGGCTCATGTCTGTACATATATGCAGCATCTGGCCACTGTCTGTCTTCTGGTACGTAATCCACTGGTGGGATTATGAATTTGACTCCTGTGGGGGACCTTGAATTGTTGGGATAAGCATCAATAGGGGCTACCTCTATCTGACCAGGGCTCGGTGAAAGAGGATTTTGGCGACTGGCAGGGTAAGAATTCATTTGGGATTTATCTGGAGAATAATCCATGGAAATAAAAGAACCATATGGCCTCCCAGAAGGGCTGGTTCGATTCCCATGGTAATGCAGGGAAACAGAGCTTGTATTGCCTATGCTGGGGACATGCTTTGGAGAATTTCCGTGGTAAGTAGGTGGGTTACTGTAAGATGGCAGTGACTGCTTTACATTCAATCCATGAGGCAGTCCATCAGATTGTGACGAGTATTTTGGAGATCTGGGCTGTGAAGTGAACGTGTAATTATTGGGTATTTTTAGCGGAGCTGGTATTTTTTCAGTTTGCTTCCTTGGACTGTTAGAGTATGTTACGTGCCTAGGACTTTGTGGATGAGCTCTCTCCAGCATCTCTTCAACAAGATTCTCATTCTCATGATCAACTTCTGGAACGTTGTCATACTGTGACGCATTAGACCCTCGCTTACCTTCATCAACATCCAAAACCCTCATCTTCTGCTTTACATTCAAAGGCTGTGTTTCTCCAGGACTTGGTGGTGAGGCTGAAACAGAATGGTTCGTTGGCCTTCCTTTCACCTCTGCAGTAAATTTCATAGTCTTTTCAATTACTTTGATATCAGACGGTTTATTCCACTTCGGTACAAATTCCCTTCTTGTATTTGAAGTTGCATTAGAATTTTGGTTAGCAGCTGCATTATTATACTGTCTTGAGCTATCTTGCCCTGTTTGCTGAGGTTTCCTTCTGGTGTCTACCTCATTCTTGGTCTGATCACTGTGTGTGTCCATTGGTCGGGGCTTCTGCTGTTTTAAAGAAGGCTTTTTTTCCAGTGAATTAACTCTTTTCCGGTTATTTGGTGAACTTTCCAAACCTTCTCCAGGAGCTGCTCTCCTATCTGTCCTTCTTGCTGTTTGTGTACCAGTGTTGTTCTGTCCGTTGAGCACTGGAGTGAAATTAAGCACAGCAGGCTGAGGTCCTGGTGGAATTTGCCCCAGTGGCTTCTTTGGAAACTCATCTTCTTTACCTAAAGGGAGAAGAGCAATCATGTAAATTCACCTTTGTACAGAAGTTTGCTTGTGTGACTATTAGAGCTAAGAAAATGGTAACTACCAACTGAGTTATCCAGGTATCTCTCTATGCCACCTTGCTGCTAAACACCTCAAAGCTTTTCTGTACATCCACATAACACAGATTTTGTTCAGGCTCTCATCTCTCAGTCTCTCTAGTCTTCCTTTCTGCAGCTCATGCAATCTTGACAAACTTTTGTTCATTCATGATACGCTGCAAAAAATCATTTTCGCACACGATACTTCAGTTGCATTAACTACACTGTACGTACACTTCCCACTACCCCATCATCACATTACCTAAAAACTACTTTCTTCACTTTCAGGATCCTTTCTGAGACCTTCCCACCTATCATTTTCCATTCACTTATCTTTTAATATTTATCTCTGATAAATATTAATATTATAGCTACAGCTAATATTAGCTATAGCTAATATTACAGCTACAATGTCAGCTCACAGGTATTACCATTCTAATTGACCTTAAACCTCTTCTCACTTCTTGTGTTTGCCTGAAGCTCCCCTTAACATCTGCACAGTTACATCCCTGTTTTGCTTCAACTCCAGCTAGAAATATCAATGTAGAGATTATTAAAAAGCCACAGTATATCTAAGAAACTCTATACAGATGTATCTATCGTTTTTTCAATTCATTTTTTTATCAAGTATAAAACAATCTAAGTAACTAAGATTGATGCCATCTACATGAAAATTGTAGTTAAAATTTCCACAGGCAAGTTTTGCCAAACACTATTACCAAGGATATCATTTACAGCACAAGGACAGAGAAGGAGAAATCTCCTAGTTCGGAGCTCAACATATTGTAACAGCCAGTTGCGAACACCAGCACTGTGTAAGGACTCCAAACAGCCCAGGCTGGAACTACACAAACAATAAGGAAATGTTTCATTGTTTGATGCTGTTGATACAACCAAGTTTCATCAACTTTTCACTGAAGACTTTCCATCTAGCAGTCCATGCCTTTGTCTCTTATCAGTGACATTCATAAAGTCTTTTATGGTATCCACTTACATGTAAGTTCTTTAACTGTGTATAATATATTTCTTTTCCATCATAAGATCAAATGACCACTGCTAATTTATTAATCTAAATTTAATATTCTATTTATCAAAAGATAGATTTTTTCAAGTCAGCAGAACAAAAACAAAAATCCTCCTGTATATGCATTTGAGTAAAACTCTACTGAGAGGGAAAAAGAAATTACTGCTTTGTTATATAAAAAGCATTATACAAAAAGGTGACAGGAAAATAATTTAATTCCTGCTTCTTCTCAAGAGACAAGAGCTGCAGAACCTCTCTCTGTCATCAAAGATCTTAAAAGCTAAAATTTGTGTCTCACTCTTACTAGTTACTTGCAAACAGCTTTCATAAGGTTCACATGTGTAAGCACATATAAGTGTGTCCATCTCCGATACAAGTGCAGTGGTTAGAAGTATTGAGAGCCGTGTTAATTTTTACAATCAACAGCCTCAGTTCAATCTCTGATGACTGGCTCATGGTACAGAGAGACACCAGAAAGCTGTTAGCCAACATCTGTATTATAACAGCATCAACAAATTACCAGCAAGATCAGTTGCCATATACACTAAAAGAAAACTTACAGTCTTGGGTAGTTTGTGCCCACTAGGGCATAGCAGGAGAACAGGAGAGAAAAAAATGCAATGAGACCATGTGTGCTGGCTAAATGAAAAATATTTAACAAAACACTGGCTTTGTCAAAAAAAAAAAATTAGTCTTTTCTCAATTTCCGAAGTTTCCACATGAGGCCAATGGTCAGAACCCAACCTTTTCCTGTAGAAATGCACAAGAGCAGAAACTTCCACGTGCACCCAACAAACACAGAACCTACTTGAGTTTGCAGTAGAAATGCTCTCCACTTATTTTCTCCTAGTTTTCCCCTAACCAGTTATGATCACACCATTATTTAGCTACACAAACCTACTCTGTTCCAGAGAAACTGCTCAGTGTCCATCTATTACCCTAAGAAGTTGCACACGCTGAGTGCCCCCCGCAATGACTTGTCCCCGACATGTTAAGTCATCTTTTCAGGATTGTACAACTGGCACACAGAGGAATTACTGGATACGGCAGCAAAACCACCCCTCTATCTCTGTAAACTACTTGATTACAGGGAGGAAATTTATGGTTTTGTATGCAAAAAATTCCTTAGAATATTCTAGAATAAATTATTTTAGCATAATGGATGGCTGAGGGAGGGAGGGATTTCTTCCCTTCAATGAGGGAAGAAATCAAGCTTCACAAAAAACCTGAACAGAAGTTCATTCAGTAACTGCAACTCTTCCTTTGTTTGTACAAAGGGACTAAAAACATCAAATGTTTTCCTTTTTTCCAGCTTCTGCTCTTTAAGAAATGCATACAGAGCAAAATGGGATCCTTTGAAATACACTTTCTTGTACAAAAAGAAGTTTGTTTTAATTTCACAACCTTAAAGTTCCTATTCCTATTAAGGTTTAATAAAAATCTAAGTGAGAAAACTGCGGACATATTTACTGAATTCTATCTACACTGCTCTGAAGATTAATTTGTCATCTTTCCTTCACATTTCAGGTAAAAGACCACAGTACAACTGGGTACATATGGTCTGCACCGTTTGGCTGGTGCATACAATCACAGGGACTATAGCTGTGCAATTAATATCAAAGCAGTCCTACCATGTCTGTCATGAAACTGTTAAAACCTGGAAATTAATCCATGTACTGAGTGATGGTCAAAGCGTTCAGAGACAAGAGTAGTTTGCTTAGAAGAAAACGGTGGCATGCTAACAGCATGACACGAGGCTTTTAGCTTTTTATAGGCTGGTAATACTGGAGCTCAGTGCTTGCAGAGGAAGCAAAAATACAGACTGATGTGTATGTATGCAAAGGAGGGGTCAGTGGGAGTAACAGGGGAAAGAAATACGGTTTTATATCTCGGCCATAAGACCTCCACAGAATTTGTATTAACTTACCTCACACTGAACACACATAGACTGCTTAGTCAACAGCATTTGCATCTCAGACTTTAGGAAAGGCTGGAGATGCTCAATTTAGGAATCAAGGATATAAAAGCACAGGCCGAGGCTTCTGAAAAGCCTGTGCTATCTGCCTCCTGCCACGACAGACATCCAAAGCAGAGCAGCTCTGCTGGGACTCACGATGCTGCAGCACGGGGACCTCCAGCAGACTGGTCACCCTCTAAGGGTAAACTGATTTAAACTGAAAACATGTATTTAACTCTAGTATTTAAAAATACATATAAAATAAATATGCGTGTGCATACATACACTTAGCTATCACTGTCAGGAACTACTAAAGTACTTTATTACTAAAATCAAACAAAAACTCTTAACGTCTTGTTTTCTTTTTTAAATGAAAAAATTAAACAGAAAGGGGATAACTACATCTATCACACCATGCATGTTCATACAAAGCAGGCATTCCTCAAACGCACAAAACAACATGCAAATTTTGCCTATGAATGTTTTAAGTAAGTCACTGTCACCTAGAATGGCAAGAAGAAAATGATACTTCATGCTGGCAAGAGTGGCAGGAGAAAAAAGGTAATAAAAGCAAAAAGCTGAGAAAAAGAAACCACAATGCAAAAGCAAACAAAAGAAACCCGGTCACATAAACATCTCCACTGGTAACAGTCTGCCAGAAGCATGCAAAAGCACTTAAGAGTGTGTATCTTAAGAGCTGCATACCTTTATCTACCCATTTTCCTTTCCAAAACTGCCTAAAAGCTTCCATGCAGCTGCAGCCCTCTGCTTCACCACTTCAGCTAAATTCATTGGTCAAATCCCTCAGATCTCAGTGTCTCAGAAGTTTTGTTTGGGTATTTTTCAAAGACGTTAAACTGAATCTGCTTGTGCTGTTGAACCTACGTCTGAGCTGCTTCTTTTTCTGGCCATGTCTGTCTGACCAAAGAAATAAGGACGGAGGAATGTCTGAATTCCACAAAAAAAAAAAAAAAAAAGTATTTCTGGGGCAAATGCTTTTTAGGCAAACAGACATTTTAAAACCAGAATTTAGAAGAAAATCGCCCAATTCAGCAGCAACCTTGACCATCATCAAATGTGCAGGGACACTGCGCTTAGGTCTTTGGGAGCTTACCAGGCACTCAGGTTTGTCCTGGGCTGCCAGGATTTGCACAAAATGCAGAACTGGGTATTTCTTTCTCCTCCCTCACTTCCTTCAACAAAACAGGTTTCTGGACAGTTTGCTTATTGGGTTTTCCCAAAGACAAATGTGATAACTTACATCAGAATTTACAGAGGGGATCCTATGGGATTTCCTATTCTTCCCTGAAGGAAAAGGTAGTGAGCGATTCAGTTGTCCTGCTCATAGCAATAGTTGAAAAATAGAAAAAAAAAAAAAAAACAGGTGGAAAGGGCAAAGAAAGAGTAGTAGAAGGAAAGAATTTAAACAAAACAAGAACAGTCAAGTATTTGTTTGCTGCAGGAAAAAAATACCTGACATGAAAAGGAACAAAGCAAATATGCACAGGCCTGCCTTTTCCCCAAAAAGATTTAAAAAATGAAGTCATCTTAAAGTTTTATTCTACTGACTTACTGCTCCTCTAACAAGTCTTGGTCACCACCCAGTGGAAGTCGATCCCAACTACAAGACTGTGCAGATAATTGCTTTAGGAGGCACTAACAGCCTCATGCATGGAATAGCAGACATATAATTGGAGTAAAGTGCTTTAAGTGCTCTCTCTGGTGAATAACAGTCTAGTCCTTAATTTTCAGCGCCAGAATACATGCACTTTGACTGTTCTAACACAGTTTTCAAGGATGGTAATGGTCATAAAAACAACTCTTAAAATGACATCTTGATATTTTGTGTTTATTTTCCATCAGTGACTTCCCTTCTTTCTTGTTCAGTTTACAAGTCCAAGAGAATTTTAGAGAAATTTAAGTGATTGCACTAGAAGCTCAGGCTGCTGTCTGAAAGTCAAACTCTCTTCCTCCTCCTCTACATGCCATCATCAGCAATGGAGATAGGGAGATGAAATCCTGCCTGACAACTTGATGGCACTGGAACCAAATATACAGTTGCCTGTTTGCAGCTATGCCAGTTTTGTAGTACTCATGCTAACAAAAAACTTACTTTATAAACCTCTGCATTTAGATAAGCAGGAAAAAGATTAACTGACTTGTGCCTAGATGCGTCTGCAAGGTATCTGTATTTTATACTCAATTCAGTCACTTAATTTTACATCGATTTCACTTTTTCCTCTGGAAACTCTGCCTTCTTGAAAAGGTCTGTCAAAGGATCTAGTTCATATTTAACAAAAACATGCAAGTTTTAAGCAGTAAAGATTTTTAAATGATGCAAAGCCAATATCTAAAGCTGCTCAAATTCATACCATTCCATATATTAATTTCCTTCAAAATACTGTAAAACACTCATATCACACCAGAAACAAGGCAGAAAAATTAGTTGATTAAAATGTGAAGTGCACTGTATGAAATAGCTACTTGTTTATTCCTGATACATAAGCGAAAAATCCAAAATTCCTCTGAAATAAAATCAAAAGAGATACAGCATTAGAAACAGTAAAGTTGAATTACATATCACTATAATTTTGGTTATCGTAAGATTAACACCAGAGATAAGACATTATTTTAGTATATAATTCTGGAATGCCATAGATTATTTAGAATAGACAAATATATGACTAAAAGATATTGATAATAACTGTCATTTCAATATAAATTTAAAGGCAAGCACCAGATAAACATTTATAAATCTGTGGCACCAGCCATAAGATCCGAGTTTCTTTACTAGTTGTCCCTCAATATACAAAAACAGACACAACCAGGTCAAATGGTGTCAAACTCCATACAGAGACAACCAAGATGATCAAGAGGACAACAGCAGCCTCCAAACTGTACAGAATTTCTTTAAAATTAAGGCTCAAGACCTTTATCTCTGAATTAAGGTCTTCTTAGCTAAAGTCTATTAAACTTTCAGTCATAAAAACTGAGAATTCCAGGATCTCTCTCTCCTCCCTTTTCAGGCACCTTGCATCAAAGGATGGGTGAGAAATTGCCTTCAGAGTAGACCTGAGGGCTAGTAAAGACATTTGCTACAATTAGACACTATATATAAATAGCTGTTTTATATCTTGTCCATTAAACAATATTTATTAATAGTAGCCATACAGAGATAACTTATAGTAAAGCAGGAGACCTTGATAATATTCTGAGTAGGACAGAAAATATTAGACAACCCTTTTCTTCTAAATCTGAGAAGACATCGGAGTGAGCACCTTACTGGACAGTTTATTCTGTGTAACTATTGCAGCTCATCCTTTGAGGCCTTCATAAGCAAGTGGCTTGATAAGAAATGTGCTTATCCCTACCTACTGTCACAGAGTCTCTGCAATATAGACCCCTGCTCTGGGTTCTGAAGAGCCTGTGGCTTAGAAGTCATGTCCTCATGGTCCTCCCCACAAAGCACAAGCTAACCTACACAGCACACAAACCAGAATTTACCAGAAAAACGGATGCAAACCCATTTTAATCTGCTTTATGCAGAAGATCCCCGACCACTGGCAAAGTGACTCAGCTGAGGTCCCTAACTTAGAATGACCTGTTTGGCTGCAGCCCTAGGGTGTCAATGAGCATTTCAAGGGTTTTACTGATGAGAAAGCAGTTGACATCTCTTCTGGATGGAGGAAGGAACCCTACAATCCAGTGGGAGAAACTAGAGGAGCAGCAAGCAGAGAAGGCCACCTCAGACATAACCACTTTACAGTAATGCAAAAGTTAATCTCTCTCAATACCCTACCACAGTTTACTCTACTAGGGCAGGAAATCTATACAGCCTATCAAAGGATGCCAGATGGAAAATTCCACAGAGCTTAATTAGCTCACTGCTATTCCTGGATGACAGATACTGATGCAACTGTCTGGTGGAGATTTTTTTTTAAACACTCATAGTTCTCAATAATTAAAGGTGTAATTGTTGCTCAATATGTATATATAAAAATACAAGATATGAAGTGGACCTCTGATTTCAGCCCAGAAAAGTGAAAATAAACATTATTTTCTCAGGCCACAACAAATACATAGAGCCAGAGTCTGGTATTTTTCTGTGCATTTCTGTGTGGCATATGATGATTTCTAAGTTCCATACAGAATTGAAAGAAAAATTACAAGGACAGACTGAAGGTAACATAGACAGTAGTCAAACACACACATGAGCATGGATGAATGTCTGGAGGCCTGCAGAAAAATATTATTGCCTGAAGTCAGTGATTAGTAGAATCAAAATGCACACGAGAGTGGGGAAAGGAAAAAAAACAAAATCAAAGCTTGTGAAATTCATAAGCAGCACAAATGAGGCCGTCTCACTCAACCACAGATAACAGCAGACAAATCAGCTAGATTTTCGAGGATTAGGATAAAGACATTTTATGTTTATTTTGGAAAAGGTTAAGTAACGTTTCCATCTACTCCGGCAAAAATACACCTCACAGAGAGACTTTCCCAGACTACTTTCAAATAAAAAAGAAATAAAAAAGTTCTCTCCCTCATCCAGCGGTGAAATATACTTCTCCCTCTACATTTGCTCTCCTTGTTTTTATCTTAAAATTAAATCATTCAGGTAAAAAAAGAAAAAAATGGGGGGGAGGGTACACTTTTTGACATAGATGTTGCTTTAGATATCCCAAAAAAAAAGACCCAATATGGCTCAAAATAACTGCTGCCTTATCAAGTAATCACACTTCTTAAGCATACAAGGTATGAAACCAAACATATTGCATCCTGCTGCCAGAATGTCTCATTAAGGAGCTACATTTGTTGCATTTGCTTTGGGCCTCCCCAAGCCGACTCTTTGCACCTCACACTTCATTCACTGCACACCAAGGTGGATGGCTTTTGTCAGCTATGAACTCTGCTACAAACCAGAACATTTTCAAACAAAATGGCAGTTGAACATGTTTCACGTTCTCCCAAAAGAGAAACCTTGAAGCAAAGCAAGTCAGGAACAGAATTGGTAGCTTCATTTGTTTTCCAGCAAGCAGATTTCCAGTAAATTCTGTATTTTCCCCACAAATTCTCAACAAGAGTAATCCATAAATGATTTCCTAGACTGGAAAACAACCCACTAACTCGAGCAGATAGCAATCTATAACCTCTTCATTGAACACTTACCACATTTTCAAGTGAGAACCAGTAACTTCTCATTGCTGATTTCTTTTAAAAATCACCTCCACGAAGAAACCTACTACAAACATGCTAAGGTTTTCTTGTTGCTGTTTTGGCAGGGGAAGGAGTGACTCCCACTGTTCATACAAAATCATAAAGCACTGGGTATTCAAAATTTTACAGAAAACACTCCAATGATCCTATTTTCCTTTATTTTTTGTGGAATTGCCACTAAAAGGCAAAGCTCAATGACTTATTTGCTCACATGCAGTCACCACAATCAAGCATCAGGCAGGTGAAGACGTCTGACAGAGCAGACAATGAGGAGGGTGATGGAAAGAGGGATTTCCACTGAAGAATAAGAAAAGACTGAAATTTTGGGGAAGAAAAAGGATGAAGAAAAGATAGAATGAAAAGGCTGTGATAAAAAATAGAGAGAAAAAGTGTGAGCAGCAGTATGGGCAGGAGCTGTGAAGTCACTGGATGAGGAGTCTGTGGATTAAGTGAACAAGAAGACTGGGTAGATGAAAGAAGAAGAAAGAACTTGTTCCTGGGACCTATTGGGACAGGAGAAAGTGTGATGGGAGAAATGTTACACGAAGTCACAAGAAGAGGAAAAAAAACCCTAACAAAAGGAAACAAAGAAGCTGGAAGCTTGACAAGAAGTCAGGATGATGGGAAGCAAGTGCATAAAGAGTGACTGACTAGGCCAGAAAGACAAATCTGCTGAAGAACCTGAAGAAATGCAGATCTACGAGTCAAGAGTGGTCCTGAAACACCTCGATATAGCATGCAATAAGGGGTACAAATGAGAAAAAATAAACTCTGTAACGAAAGTACAACGTCATGAACATGTTATAACAACAAGAGTAGGCAGCCAACCTTTATTCCAATATTTCTTAATTTTGGAAGGTAATGAGTTTATGTTAAGGTCATTTCTGCTATATTTTTGTAACTTTTATAAACCACACATTCTTCCTTACATACTGTTTTATAAATTAACAGGAATAAATAAGAATCTGACTAACTATGGCAAACACCTTTAACTGCAGTGACAGAACCTCAATTGTGACAGAATCTCTATTGGAATCTCAATACAGGAAGAAGAAACGCATTAAATATTTCTAAAGTAGCATTCAGAGAAATAACTGTCCCTGTTCTGCAACTGAAAAGCAAAACAAAGGCTGAGAACAAATGAGAAAGCAATCCAGTTAAACCCCCAGAAGACCCATCACCTGCAAAGAATTCAAAAGCAGGATCTGGCTAAGGGGAGAAAGTATTTGACCTGGTTTGTTCCACAGCTCATCAGGCTGCAGGACAATTTAGTCTCAGAAAACATGGTGCCTCTAACAACTAGGAACATATTTTTTAAAAAAAAAAAAAAATCTTCTGTCTTGCTCATCCAAGTTAATAAAATTATCTGAATATGGGATGCTTTCAAGTATCCTGCACATAAAGTACTTTTCATTGGCTTGCAACCAGGAAAAACTCCACTAAAAAAGAGCAAACTCATGAAATGAAGGGTGCTGCTTTTCCACTGTAAAATAGATTTTTGTGAAAGTCACTATGCACTGATAAAAATATGCATACGTTTCAGCAGCATGAATTAACACTTTAAAAATGGACCATGTGTGAACAGCTCTGGGCATCTAAATCTGTATTTGTACAAGTCTCTTACCAGCTGCTGGTAAATCCAACTTTGCTCGTTTCAATTCTGACATAGAATTTTGGAGCTGTTCTATTACAAAGTCATCTTCATAGAAGAAATCCTTGGCTAGAGTCTCCTGCAGAAATTCTACAAGCTCTTCCATTTGTAATTTCATCAAATGCTCTAGGTAAGAAGAAAACGTTATAGATTAAAAATATCTTGAGGATGAACATTAAATTAAAAAGATGTACTTCAGATATTAGATATTTGTATAAATTCTCCAATAACTTTCAAGTGAAATGAAAAACACCTATTAATTAAGCAGGAAATAGAGTTCTACATCAAACAAAATCTATGAAAGAATTTTAAAATTCACTTGTAAATTCATATTAAAATGCTTTCCACGTTTTCTCTGCTTAGGACAATGTTTTCCAATATGGAGCATCTTTGCAAAACAAAATCGAAGTCACCCTCCTTCGGCCTTCCAATGTTCAACATTTTTTCAGGTCTTGATTTTTTCAGTCTGCATCTGCAACTTTCAAAATACTGTCGAAGATCTTCAAAAAGTTCATCCTCTCTGTTTAAAGGCAGTGAAACAGTCTAAAAACTGACATTTAAAGTATGTTTATTCACAACTGAATTAACTTCCAACGAAATGAGTATGGCAGCTCACAACTCAGAGCCACTGCTTTAGGCTCTCTGAAAATTCAGGTACTTTTTGGTGCTTCAGTTAATTCAGGTCACATTTTAAAAGTAATTTTAGCAGCTATTGGAGATTTATTTTCCTTTTCCTTTTTTTACACAGCAGTAAGACCATGATTTCCATACAAATGCATTTTGCTTGCAAGGCTGTAATAATGCACCTATGCAGTTTCTTTAAGCATATGTACGCTATCAAAAGTTCCAGAATGTACAGATTTTCTACTTAAACCACCGAAACTGTTTTTACCACTGTAATAAAAAGGCTCTTGGCACGTATTGCACCGTGACATTTTGTTTGAATAGCTATACTATCAAAGCTTTTAAAGGCAGATGCCAATGCAAGCAGAGACCAGAAAAACAAATCAAAAAAGGAATTTGATTTTTCTTCTGTCTTCTCCTATGCCAATCTCTGCCACCATAATCTAATCTGGGTGTTTGGGTTATTAGAAAGTTGCTATGTACTATAATGCAAGCAAAGCTGCACTTTTTTTCTCCTCATAAAAACAAGAGTGATGAAAAATGGTTTGAGTAGATGTCTGTCTGTAAACAAAAAAGATGAACCAAATACTAAGCCTACTGACCTGCCTCGATATGTTCAGCTTTCTTATGCTCAATAATTACAAATCACATTTGTAACAAACATTTTTCATCTTTCAAAACCGTCTGCAAACTAATGAACATACCCCAACAAGAGAGTGATGTACAATCACCACAGTCCAATAAGGGTAAACCAGCAAGCTAATTAAGACATCAGTTGTGTGAAAAGCTCCACGCATAGAGGAAAATTTTGTCAAACTCAAGCTACAACGTAATTTACTGAGAAATGCCCAAGCAGTTTAGAAGCTAACATCTTTGGAACTTATGGTACTAAACCACTTCAGGGCACCAAGCATCAAACCTTTGTAGAACCTGGCTGCTGCTTTGCTTATTGACAGACTTCCAGGCATTTAGTGGTAAAGACACACATTTCAGGCTCTGGATTCTTTGTGGATTTTTTTTTTTTGGTCTCACATTAATATAAAACCTGTTGTGGCTAACAAACCATTTCCAAACCATGAACTAAAATTCTTTTTCCTCATTTTCTAGAAACAGTATTGTTTAATCAGACACATTGCTCACTTTATGTAGATGTTTAAAAAAACACGCTTACTGTAATAAATCTTCTATTTCTCTATGAGTTGCTTACATTCAGCAGACATGCAAATAAGTGCAATAAGAGAAACAGATTTTCATAAAAAAAAAAAAAAGGGCCACTCCAAATAAGAGCATAACCAGCTCAATCCCTGTTTAGCATTGAAATGTTTGAGAGATTTCTTACTTCTGTGTAGTTTCAGGATTGTATAAGACATAGCAGTGAGAACTCGCTCTCCTTCAAGTATGTAGATATCCCATATCCTGAGGCATAATGTAAAGGGAGTCTGCAACAAGAGAATAAGAATCAGTGAGAACACAGTTTGTCCCAACCCACAATTAAAAAAAAAAAAAAAAATACTCACACGATCAAGGAAACATTGGAAAAACCACTTTGTTGTGTAAAAACTAGTGGAAATCTCCTGGGAGTCCTGCAAAAAAGTACAAAAAACAATCACAAGAATCTAGGAATACCTTGCACTGTCCATGGAAAGATATTTCACTCACTGATCCAATGATTTTCTGGCCACAGTACCCCAGCATTCTTCATACCATACTAATTCAACTACATTAAGTGCTATTACTTTACTAACAAATACCATTTCCCTCCTTTATAGTTTCTCTTCATTTCTAAACATCTCTAATAATTTCTAATCTTTCAATTAAGAGAGATATGTGCTTGAAGATGCAGCAGTACAGAAATATATCTTAGACCTTCATCTTATTCTTGGGACAAGGAGAGGAAAGAATTAAATCCTCTTTCAATAAAAAAAATCAACTATGTTCTGGAACAGCCAGAGCCTGGGTCTCTTTGGTCTTTCTTTTCTCTGCTTAGAAGGCTGCCAATTGTTGAAAGAATTTTGTGACAGATCAGATGTATCAGAAATGGCCTAAGACAATCAATTTGTTTTAAAACAAGACCTCAAAATAGCATCTGGATTTCATTCGTAACTGCAGGACTTAGTGTCCACCTGGCCCATATGGTGCATCTTTCTTTGATATCTTTCTAACCAATAGAATGATCATTAGTCTCCTGAAAGAGCAAGATATAATGGAGCAGGTCTTTCCCTCACAAAAAAGAAGATACAGTTCTATTACATTTATTGACACTGAACTAATTCACACAAAAATAGTAATACGTTCCAAATTAAAACTGAAAGAAAAAAAATATAATGATTTTTTCTAGACCACTCCCCAAAAGTGGCCAAGAACTCTCTCAAAAGGGAGTTATCAAAGCACTTAACTTCAGCTGAGTTTTTCAACTACTTAAGCAACCTTTTTTGCAATCTTTTTCACGTATTTTCATCTTGCATTTACTGTAAAAAATAAATATACAATTTTCATTTTAGATCCAAGTCAGTTGCAGAACTGGTCTTGACTTAATAAATCTTTCTTGTTTTAATATGACATGAGAAGATGTTTTTATACAGCTAATTTTGGCTTGACCTTTTAACATAATTTTTTTTTCTAACCAGATATGCCTAATTCTGTTTTGAGCAAGTCTCACAGCATGTTGTCAAAAAAGACATTAATTCTAGTTTATAATACAACAGGCATACATGAGAAGCAATTCATCATTGCCAAGGTGCTAGTTGGCTCCCCAGTTGCTTTATTTTTGCTAGGGAGATAAACATACTAAACAGAATAACATATTCCTGAGAAAAATGTTTGTAAGCAACTACAAGGTATAGCTCTTACAAGCTGCTGCAGTACCTAAGCATCTCTTAACTACCGTTTAAGACATCGAAATAGGGATTCTGGCAGAACCATCATGATTTTTAAAGAAAATTCTTGTTGACTACATTAGAACAGCATTCTACAACCATTAGGAAAATAAAATATAGCTGCTGTCTGTTGCTTAGAATAAATATAACCAAAATTAACCAAAAAAAGGTAATCATATTCAATTACTTGAAGATAATTAGATCAGGTTAACCTATTGGGGTAACCTAAACTTGTACAAGGTAGCAAACTGTAGGTTACTATTGCTTTTACAGTGTTATAAATACTTACCAAATGTTGCTTCAGTTTTGACAAAAATTTTTTCAGTATTTTGTCATGATGTTCTTGAAACCTCAACAGTTTTGGAAAACCAGGAATAAAAAAACCTACGAAAGAAAGCTGACCATGTAACACATGTATGCACCATAAATTAATAGCAATTTTTAAAAGCTTTCAAAGCACTGAGAATATTATCCTTCTAAAGACCACTGGATCCAAACAGATTTTTATAACAATGCTATTATGCTCATGTAACAACACGGATATTCTCCTGCCCTAATGACTAATAAAACATCAATATCTTCCATTATTGCCTATTTTTAGATTAGCAATGGTAGGTAACAGCAGTTACATCAATCCTACATTAGCCTGCCTCACTATAAGAGCATGTGGAAAACAGATTTTAATATTTATTTTTCAATTAAATACTTTTATAACCAAAAACCATGAATCATGATTTTGGCCTGCAAATTCATGACAAAGGCAGAGAACACAGACAGCTACTAGGACCATCTGCACTGAAGAAAAGACCATGAAGAAAGATGAATAAGAGGATTATTCTATCAAGACCAACTACTATGAACAGATGATATGAAGTAATAACAGTGAGCTTACAGAATTGAATTTAGGGATATATATAAAATCTTTAGCACTTTTACTGATAATGTGCTTGAAAAGGAAAGCACTAAGATCCTCTTCCACTTGAGTTTTCAGCAGAGGTTTAAAAAAAAAAGAAAAAGAAAAAGAGCAGATGCAGAATCAGTCAAAAATGTGAGGAATGTGAAGGCAAGCAAGCATAGCTACACAGCAGGATAAGAGAGCATTCAAAGACGATCCTTCAAAAGCTTAAGCTGCGTTCAGATGAGAAAAGCTGAAGTGATCAAACACTGGCAGATTAAATATCAAAATGCTAGAAAGCAAATCTCCCCCTAAAACTTAACTAAACTTACAGGAGACATAAGAAATACTAATAAACTTATTTTCAAACACAACAGAAGCAGAAAATGGTGAATTTGTAGAGCAAATTATCAAGTTTTAGTTTTTTGCTTGTTTACTCAAATGTTCAGAGAAGATAAACTCATGCTAAAAGAAAGTTAAATTTTGCAAGGAAGAAATCAGGGTGACCCCCAAATCAAGACACTGAACCGAAGGATAAAAGAGCTGAAGCATCTCTTGCATGGAACTTCTTCCTTAAAATACCAAGAGGACAGGAAAGTGGCTGTTAGGGGCTGTTAAATGCAAACAGTGAATGACTACTGAATGACTACAGCTAATTAGCCATCATTAATAACAAGTTCAAAGGTGCTTTCTCCATGGAAGTAGCTCTTTCAATTCCCATATGCTAACTCATCTTTATTTTTTTTTTTTTTTAAGATTAAAAAGATCCCAAAAGAAAGAGCTTTCAAAAACCTAGATCCCTTTCAGGGTCAGCTATGTGTATTTTGTCATTTATAGACTTCATCTCATGCATAAAATATGAATCATCCAAAGGCCAAATTCACCCCTTGATTTCAAATGGTGTTATAGCAGATATTAATCTGACTATACATCCATTTGGGATGCATATGTTTGCCCCTCTAGAAAATATTCTAGGTCATATGTCTAGATCACAGACAGAGGAGAAAAGAAAACAGACGAAAAACTTGGTCTGCAGGGAGGAACTTTTATCTATTCTATTCTTGTCAATACACTTCTTATTTAACTATTTGGCCCATCCTATAATTTTTATGGGCAGCCATTCATTTCAGAGAGCATCTGATACTGACTAGCATCAAGCTGGATAATAAACATTTTTCTTTAGGAATATCAGCAATTTGGAATCGAAATAGCTTAGGCTTTAAGAAGTACAAAGTTAATTTTTAAGTTACCCTTGCACTGTCTAGAGTGATATTTCCAGTAATGCTACATTGTGCCACAAACCACATTCACGGGAAAGTCTAGGTTAGAACCGACTTCTGGAGATTATCTGGTTCAATCTTCTGTTGAAAGCAGGGCCTTAGATGAGGTTACTAATACTTAACTCATAGGTGAAGAAGCAGCACTCATTTACTTTATAATTAAGCTTCTCAGCATTATCTACAAAAGCAAACTTCCTTAGAGAATGCTGCCAGGCCAGCTTCACGGTGTGCACAAAACCATGGCACGATGCTCCATGCGGTCTGTAAATCCGGTCAAGTCTCTTGGTGACTCAAGGCTCCCCCTTTCATCACCCAACTGCTCTGCAATGTGACAGGATCAGCCAGAAAGACCGAGCCCTGATGGTTTAAAGCATTCAAAAGTCTTTTTACACATTTAAAGTTTGTAAACAAACAAAAAAACCTATAATAATACAAACCCTACTTCCATCTATCCAATATCACCTTATCTAATTCAGTAGGGTTTTTTTTTTGAATATATTTTTAAATTACTACTGTACCTAGCCATTCCTTACTGCATAGAAGCAATTTTCGTAATAGGAGTTACTAGAGAAAAAAGTAATCAGAACAAAGTCGATATGATGTCACCCCAACATTTCAAAAGGAACACAAAGCAGTATAATGTTTGAGTTCAGTTTATTCTATCGGTAGCACAACTGACAATAGCATCCATGTTTTATATATATATATATATACATATACATATATACATATATATATATATATATCAGTATGAGTGCACAGACTCCCATAGGGCAAGCAATACATCTGCCCTTCACCAGCTGTCAGAGGAACCTGCTTTTGTCCACCCCAGCAAGTTCAAAACTTTCTACAAAAATAAGTCTTAGAAATTCACTTTAGACTTTTAGATTAGCATCATTTTCCAACATCATGACTCTGCTCTATTTGAAGAAAAAAGTGAAATGGACAAAAGACTAATACTTAAAATCTGCAGAATGTTTTAAAATCCTATTTAAGAGCTTGTAGCATCTTAAAAAGACAAGTCCAGATCAAAAGCAAATCAATGGATTTTGACTATAACAAGCTGATTTAGATTCACTCCCTCAAAGAGCTAAAATTTTCCACAACCTTTGAGGAACTCAACGTCTTATACATAATTGTATTTAATTTATGGTACTCACTCCGTTGTCAGATAACACCGTTTTGTCCAAAACTTGATATATTTGAGGAAGTACAAGCAGAAAAATAATGAACTAGTGCACTGTATTGGGGACAAAACACCCAGAAAGACTCAAAAATCAGGGCAGGGAGCTACCAAAGTATGTGAAAGTCTGAAAAGGGAAAAAGAACCAGAATCAGCTGGAAATTTACTGAAAAGCCTTAAAATTGGAGTAAGTTTAGATAATATTTACTTTTTCAGACTTCCAAGAACAACGTCTCTCCTGAATAACCACACCATTAACAACTATAGAAGATGCTGGAATTCCTGCAGTTGTTTTATCCCTAGGGGAGTAGAATATCTACAGATCAGACTCAACTTAAAACGGAAAGAAAGAAGCAACAATAGAAAGGTAACTAGACTGAAAGAAGGAAATTCTGTCCGAGGCAGAGCTACAACTAAGACACTCAAGGCTAATCCCTCAATACAGTATCTGTTGTTTGCTCTGGACTCCTTTCCTGCCGAAGGATAGCAGAGCCACAACATCATTTAACACATTCAACATTAAGTTTCCACTTGCTACATAGATGTCTACAGAAGCAGCTTTCAAGTGGCTACTTATGACAGATAAAGAGGAAAGAAAACATCTGCTTTTCATTAAGAATTCTTCGAAAACAATTACTTACAGTAATGGTTGAGTTCCAGTAACATCCCACGGCCCCCACTATAAGTGGGAGTTGTGAAGCTCCAATTATGTCTTATTTTGGGCATAAGCAAAAAATAGTGGAGCCCTGTTTTCAAATAATCCACAGTGAAAAGGGCAGGTTGCAACCTAACACGTGCTGTGCGAGGCTCCCTACCGTGCATAGCGTGCTTCGGACTCGAGAGGAGCTTCACCAGGGCCCAGAAGGCATCTTCTTCATTCATGTACATCAGGAGCAAAGCTGTAATTTGGCTCATTCCCTGACAGTATCCAACTTCCTGCAGAATACACAAGGAAAATAGTACAACAATGAGAAAACAAAACAAAAAAAAAAACACTCATATTCACCAGCTATTATTTTTTTCTGTCTTGATAGCATAAGCTCTCTAATTATGCCACTATTAGAGACACATTTTAAAAATCTGAAATATTCCCAGACAGAACAGATGATGCACTGTCCTCCAACTGAAAAGTAACCTGGAGGTTTGACTGTGCATTATAATTCTCTACTGAAACACAACATCCTTGCTGAGATAAACAATGTCAAATAATTTTTCCCTGTTTAGTTTCAGTTTAGTATTTTCTTACAGTATGGAGACCACCTGATAAACCTGGGAGTTTTCAATCTCTAACTGTGAACCTGCCCTATGGACAGCAGCACACAGCAAATAGATGCAACCAATGTGCTAGAAAAAAACATACTCATGTTCCAAACCCAAATTTGTGTCATCGTTGTATTAATTTTTACTCTTATGGCAGGAACCAACTGTTTCTATCACTTAACGGCTTGGAGAACTTCCCCAATACAATATTATGGGAGAAGGAATTAATTGGTGAGGGAGGTTTTCAGATTTAAAGGTTATTAGCAGAACTGTGCTCTAGAAACAAATTCAAAGCACTTAACGCTCTGTGCTACATTGAGAAGAAAAATACAACAAAAATGCTAAATAAAAAAACCTCCCTTCACTCTTCCTATCATGTGTACAGCAACAGTTGACTCTAATATTTTTCATGCAATTTGAAGTTATTTAATCCAATGTACAATAGGAGTTGTATAAAGATCCAGTGCTGTATTTCTCAATATGTTTCAAGGTAGCTCACAATAAAAGGCCAGACAATATATTAAGTAAAACATATTCCATGCCTTAAAAATAGAAGTGCAAACAAAATAACTTCACAAATTTTTAACTTCACAGAATTCAATAAAAATATGTGAAGTCATTTACTGAAGAATGCAAATGAAGCATCTATAAAAATATCTAAGTAGGCAAATTAAGTGAAAAAATAGTGTATAAAAATATACAGGTGGATATTACAGCTTTTCTGTTTCTTCTATTTCTATCAAGCAGCCAAGAAACATGACAAACTGCAGGAGCTTCTAGCCCCTACAATGAAGTCTAGAAACTCAATTTCAAGAAATCCTCATTCTGCATCCAAGATCAAGTTTATTACCAGAATATACTTAAATGCATACACAGGAGCATTCCTAAATGAGAGCTAGAGTACAGAAGACTCAACCTTTAAGATCATTTTCAGCTTTTAGAACCCTCCAGGTTACAATATGCCATTTACTCCAATGTGCAATCTTGTACTCCAGTCTGCTGTGTGTTTTCCCCCTCATCATACAGACAATCTTAGTGGGAGGCATATAATAAAAAGGGGAAAAACAGCAGTAGTAGAAAACTCAAGCTCAGTACAGATTCATTTTTCTCATTAGCTACTAAATTTAATTTCAGTTGAACTGTATGCATTGTCCTGCCTGTCCAATAAAACTAGATATTCACAATCAAGATGCCTTGCTTTACTTTTTTTACTTCAGTGGCTCAAAACACGACAACAACAAACTATTTCTCTTCAAAAGCTTCAAAAGAATCTATGAAATGTTCTTTTTGGGAGGAGAAAAAGGACTCAGAATTCCAGTTCTCCAGAATTGCAGAATTACAGCATATTCAGAGAAATCACATTTCAGTAAAAAAGTGCATGACTTACCGTATTATACATGGAATAGGCAGCTAAAACATGGAATAAAGACTGTTGCCTGGAGAAATAACAGTAGAAAAGAAACAATGTAATATATGTATTTTTAAATAGATAAGCATAAAAGTGCTGAGCTATGTTTTGGAAATCTGTTTCTCCAATTTAACTTCCATAGTGCTAAGTAGGAAAAACACTTTACACTGACGTTGCACCTCCGATTTCTCATTGACTAACGATACTCAGCACTTTTCTGCTCTGTGTGTGTGTATGTGTGTGTGTATATATATATATACGTGTATACATGTACACATATATATATATATATACACACACACACACGTATATATTCTGAGTATAATGACCTCTGTATGGACCTTCAGATTTACTAGACTTAAACAGACTTAGAGGTTTTTTGCTTTCCTTAAAAAGGGTCTGCCTTATCCTGTATGAATCCTAAATTGTGAAGGGTAGTAGGACTAAACGTATAGACTCTGCTCTCCTCATGTTGGGACATACGTAACGACAACTATATCTTTATGTAGAGCTCCCATATGAATTTTGAATCTCACACCTTTCTGACATTTCCAGGGGGAGAGAATTTGGAAATGTGAATGCTAAACTTAACATCTAAAACTAAACATCTTAAACTGCTAAAATTTATCTGCTGAGTTTTGCCTACTGTCCCTTGTGACCTATGAAATTCCCCCTGCCTATTGCTAATCTAAACAAACAGAAATAGCCAACAGCAAGTTGAAAACAAAGAAAGTACAAGCAAAAAGCTGCACATTTTCTACTGGGAAGAGGATGCACCCTTGGAGATTTTTTTACTGAAGAGACTAAATTATGGCATTTTCCCCCACACTTTTGCAGAAACTGGAGTTTAATCATTCTTCAGTAACCAAAGAGTAAAGTAAAGGCATTATGATGGGCTTTGGTCTTATTTTACAAGGACAACCTGAGACACAATTAGGACCAAACAGCAGGGGAATCTTTTATATCATCCGAAAGGGGAATGCTGATCACATGAAACAGTGCAATCTCATTCACATTAAGCTTTATAAAGCAATGGTAATTTTTGTTCTATTTACACTGGGTGATACCTCTAAAGACCTAGAAAAGAACGATCCTTTCAAAGCACAAACTACTGAAAAGTCAAACAAGCTGTCGATTATCCTGAGGGACAAAAATAACTAGACTTATTTCACTGATATGCCAAACGACTTTTGAATTTTCATCAAGGCATCGCTAGAAATGTGCAGTACATGTAGAGCAAGCCCAAAAACTATTCCAAGGGCAAAAGTGGTTTATGCAGGGAAAGGCTTTCACATGGACTGTGCAGGTGTGTCTACACCATGGGATGGGAGATGGGTCAATGCCAAGCTGGTGAGGGTGGAAAGCTTCTGCTCATAGTAAAGTCCAGGCAAAGTCTGGGCAAATATAATAATTATAATTTGTCTGCAAACTTCCTCGAAGAATGATACAAGAAAATGTTTATCATCACATTAAAGCTCTCTGAGTACAGCTTTTTGAAAATGGCAGATTACAGTTGAATCCGCCTTGGAAAGAAAAGAAGATTAAAAACTGAATTAATACACTCAGAGAAGGAGAAGAAACACCCTATTCATCTCAGCAGGGTGCTGATGCTGCGAGCTAGCAACAATGCTGATGTTTGTATTGCCTCTTATTTCACTATCACGCATTTTTGAAGATGACAGTTGCTTAATATTCCTCATGCAATGATAGTAAAAATATTTGGGGGAAATAAAAGGCACTCAGGCTTATGTTTGTAAATAACCAAGTGTCCCTATCTAAAAGTAGTGTTTTATTCAGTCCCTAAACAGAAACTAGGAAGGAAGGAATATAAAAATCCAAAGGATGACTAAAATATCTGGGAAAGCAAGAGGCATTAGAAACGTAAAAAGTTGTTTTGTCTCTCAAAAATAACCAGTTAAATACAAGAATTGTGGAATTGTGTAATTAATCTCAATTAATTAAATAACTTGGCATTTCTGTTTGTTTCTTGAATTTACAATAACTGAGACTAATAAGACAACAAGAGGAGAACACTGTAGAAGTGTTTTTCACTCGAATGCTAATGACTGTAGCATACAGCTAGTGAAAACTAGCTGGTTTCCTGGAAATAAATACTTGGTTTTGCAGCAATAAAAGTAATTATTACACATACGTAGTTTTGCTTTGAACAATCTGAAGTGTACATTCAATATGCTTGGACAGATCAAAGAGGTTTCATACAGGTCAGAAGCCAATTTTAAGATAAATAAAGAACTTTCAAGTTACTCACTTAACACCGTATCTGTCTCTAAACATGATGTGATCCCTGTATGTTCGATTTACATCGAGATCAATTTGCCTAATATCTGGTGAAGACCCTCGTGCTTCACACTTCAATTTCTAGGAAAACAGGAAAGAACAGAAATTAAGTTTACAATTACAAGCTCTAAAACATGAGAAACCTACCTGGGCTTATACCCAGACTAAAGCATCTGCCACCCCAGGATTCAGAACACTGACCATGGAATGGCAACTAACAAAACAGCAATTTTCATTTCCAAGGTGTGCATATACAGACACACGTGCTGTAGAATCAGACACGTTTACATAGTGTATACATGTTAAAAAAAACAACCCTACAGTATAAGTTCTTGTGTTGTATCATTCACTACCCATATTCGAGGCCACATTTCTACATTTTGAATTTTTTATTGCCATTTTTCATGTATGCACATGACAGCAGGAAGACAAAAGGGGAATTCTGTTATTCAGGAACAACCATCTAGGATGCAGTTGCTCCAGACTGGACTTTTAACAAATGATCAGCGTGGCTTTCACATTTTTGTTGTCTGTTTTTCCTAAGCAGAAGTAATATTTATTTAATTGCTCTTTTCTTCTGTATTTTTCTATTTTCTTCCTAAGCTTAGACAATAACTGGACATTTCTCTAGTCATTTCCCTCGACTTTCTGGTCTAATCCAATTCACTGGTAGCACAACTTCATTCTATCACTTTTCAAAGTTCTCTAATTAAATCTAACTTTGCCTACTTTAGAAAGGCTGCATAGGCAGGACTGACACCTTATTCTTTTTACATTCACAATATTTTTACCTCCACATTCATCCATCTATTCTCATTTCTGTCCCTAAAAGTGGAATTTGCAAGGCATTCCTAACTGTGTGCAACACAGTATTTTCAAAACAGTACATCTGAACAGGCATATCAATGAAGATTAAGATTAATAATGAAGAATATTAAGAGTAGATTAGTAAATGCCCTGTACGGAGAAGTGCAAGAAGTTCTTGACATATACAGTGAGTTGGACCTACAGCAAAAACACCTATTCCTCTTCTTACTTTAGAATGCACAATTTCCAGGTGAGATTCATAACGGGGTGTTTTAATGCCACTTCACCAAATGGGAAAAATGGAGAGCAATTAGATGAGCTTATTGCACATAAACATCATGAACAAACAACAAGGGTAGTGATGACAAAACTCCTTGTACCTCCCTATTTCACTACAAAGTCTTTATTTCCTCTTTTTTTATTTTTTATTTATTTATTTTTTGCATTGAGCACTAGATGGCATTAATAACCTCTGAAGATGAATTCACGTAATTTTAAAGGCTTGTAGTTTAACTCCATATTCCTTCCCACAGATACATTATTCAGCATGAACTTCATTTTATCCTTTCAGGATGTGCCTCTAGACTTATTTACGAAGCTAAACAAAATATAATAGTCAGAAAGAGCAGCCTGTCAGACTAAAGAGTGATAAATAATTCAGGAGGAAGACCACAGAGACAAAAATGTAGATAACATCACTGCCAACATCCATCTTCTTTCACCACTGTATGAGCTCCCTTGCCTACTCAGATCCAAAGCCTCAGCTCCTGAAAAAATGCTATTAAAAACGTCAAACCCAAATCAGCAATGCATTTCTTTGAAACTCTGGGCATTATTTCTTAAAATCCTGTGAGCATTGAAATTCCAGTGGGGAACGATTCAGACAATCTACAATACCAAATTACCTATCTCCTACCCTCTGCCTGGTGCCCCTGGGCACAGAGGGAAAGAGAAAAAAAAAGAAAGAAAAAAAAACAGAATTTTACAGGATTTAATTCCTCTTCTACCTAACTTATCAGCCTGCACATGAATCTTATTCTATATTTATGGATTTATGAAGTTGAGCTCTGAAAGCATTCAGCTCTACTAACACCCACAAAAACACTAGAATTAGCGGGAAAAAAAAAATTGAAGTGACTTCAAGGAACAGAATAATTCGGAGAGGGATTTATTGCCCAGGGTATTGCAAGGAAGGGACACCCCCGAAAATTTTTCTTTAAGTAGATCTACTTAAGAGGTCAATTTAGGCCTGGAGCATTTCGTGCAGTTACACCTCAGAGTAACTAAACAAACAGCACTTTACAATGAATATCTAAGTTGTTTTTAGGGATGAGATGCCAGAAAGATAGTCAGCCTGTGCCAGCAGGGTCATCTAAGGTTCTGCAAGATCAACAAGGCATCAATCCCCCTAAAAATACTACTGGTTTTCAGCTAATATGGTGCTTCCTTAGTAGAAATTTCTCCAAGAACAGCTGTAGTTTCAGAGGTTTCTGTCTCCTTGCTGGGAGAGGAGTTTTGCCTTGTTTTGTTCTGCTTCGCTTTTCAGAGGATTTTAGCAATGATTTTAGAGTGGTAGAAGAAATGGAAAAGAAAGATGAAATTTAATTAATTATAGAATGAAAAAATAACCTGGCAAGGTACTTTCCAAAGACATTGTCCTTTTTTTCCTTTTTTTTTCCCCTAGCTAAAAACAAACAGTTGGGTTAAATGTATTTTCTAATCCTTCTTCCATGCCATGTAATAACAAAAGCTTAATAACACCTATAGTATTAGCATTTGAAATTGTTAATTTTAATATTAAATGGAAATTCTGCAAACTCACATTATAAAGGTCTTTTGTTTCTTCTTTCATTTTAGGAACATCAAGCAGCAAGGACCAGACTTGCCCTCTGAACTGCAGCGGGATGCCTTTGTAAATTCTCCTGTGAAACTGTAAAAAGAAAAGATAATTGTGGTACAAGCTGAACTAAAGAAACTGTGACCTATGGAGGAAAAGGCAATTACAGAAGTTGTACAAGCAGGATGGCCTATCAAAATTGTATCATCTCCACTGTTTAACATTTGCTCTACAAATAGAGGAAAGAAGGCTTTGTATTTGATATTTCACATAAAAAAAAAAAAATTCATGGCAGCACAAATTTCCAGAAGAAGCCACAGAGAGCTCAGTACAATCCTGAACGATACATGGGGATACTAAAAGGCACCAGGCAACATCACACAAAGCTTTGGAGCTTAACAGCAACAGCAGCAAGGTTCAATTCTTGTAAACTGCAACACCGAAGTGCACGTACACAGATCACCAGAAATGCCACGTCCCAGGCAAATATTTCAGAGCATATAAATTAACAATCGAGTATTTTCATAGGTGCACATTAGGACATATTTGTATTAAAACAATTCGTAAAAAAAAAAAATCATAGCTGTGAATAACTTTACACCACTACATGTAACTTTTTTGCTGTGAAATAGAAAATGAAATTCCCCATTCGTAACCCATGTACTCCGATAGGCAAATGTGATACTAGAAATAGGTCAGAAGGGGACAACCGGGGACACTGGAGGGAGGAGCCATATCCATACCTATCTGTATCTGCATCTATCTATACACGTGAGTGCTGCCTCTGACACTGCTCTTGTGCTCCACTCGCTGCTTTGCTTCTCATAGGGCTTACTTGAAAAGATAAACAAACACATATCAGGACCAAAGCAGTTGCCTTCCTGGGTTCCTCTCCAATTCGCATCTCTGTGCTCCAGCATCTAGGAGCACACAGACCATCCAATCAGAGAAAAAATGACCAGTTGTCTTAATCTTGGCTTTAAAGGACCAGGAACGATTCAAAGCAAGCAAAACCTCAGGTCAATCAACCACAGAAACTTTAAAAATGAAAAAAAAATAGAAAAAAAGAAAATCTCAAGACATGACTAGGAAAGGCAAAAGCAGAGGTTTTTTTCTTTGAGTTCTTTCTGAAGCTCTGTTTTTACCATTATTTTAATGATGGCACAGAAACATCATTAGATAGACCCGTTTGCCAGGTTTGGAAGATTAATGAACACTCTGTAACTGTGTTGGTAAACCTCATGCTGTTTAGGATATCTTCAAAGCATAACGTCTGGATTTTAGAATATGTGATCTTTTCCCAAGTATTTTGAGAGCTCTTTAATGGGAACACAATGTACAGCAGCATACAAATAAAGCCTGCAGAAGAAATATGGTATTTTTCTGTCCTCTTTCAAGCTAAAATTCTTAACTCATAAGATGCTATAGCAAACCCAGAGGCTGTCACTGTTTAACCACAGAAAGACAATTTCAAGGTACCTGTCTAAGAAAAGTTTGCTGCCTTTAATACTGACCTTTAAGATGACCTGGGCACTAAAAAGCTGCAGCAGTTTTAATATGTATACAGTTATATACGGATAGTTTCCTCCTGTCCAAGGAGAAAGCTTCCCTAGATGTACATCCAGACTTCGGCTCATACAGGAAACATCACTCTTCCAACCCAACATTGATAAAGGTTGCAAGAGAGGATAATTCTGTCATTTGAAAGTCATGAACAGCAGCTACAGGAGTGTCATTCTGCAAAGAGATCGTGTTGATCATGTGTCCTGGAATGAAAATGAGCCAAATTTCCAAATTTTTTTAAACCTTGGCTAGAAAGTAAGGTTTAGAAAACTAACTAGAGAGAGAGGTCCTAATTGATTTTAAGTCTCCCATGGCATTTAACTATATTGTTCAGACCCACAGTATAGCAATAGTGCATCCCCAATAATGATTTCAGTCATTACAAGTATCAAGAGCCTGGCTAGAGTCATCAGAACACCAGATTCAGGGCTTTCACTGTCTGCTATCTATACAGGAGATCAATGCAGACTGAGAACAAAGTATTTCATAGCACAGACTATCACAAATGATGACAAAGATACCACATGTAGATGTGCTCTTCTGCAAATTCAAAAGGAGCTACTCACTCGAGAAGATATTGGATTTGCAAATCGGACCACTCAGTAATCAAACAAGACTCTGTATGGAATTAATTTAAAAAAAGAGCTTACAAAGGAAACAAAAACACTCAGATTGGGAATATTCCAAATAAATACCAGTCATCTTCTCAAATAACAAGGTCCACAAAGCCCAACTTTATGACCTCCCCTCCTGCAATCTCTCAAGTCCAGCTGGTTCACGGTCAAAACACAAGGCCACTATCACATAGCCCTAGTC